TGCCATACAATAAAGTCTTGTGCTGTATATAATTTTCATGCAGGGGCTGCAGTTCATACTGCCGAATCCTTTTAATATGATATACGACATTAGCACAGCTGGTGTTCCAACAGGAGCACAAATAAAGAGCACTGTCATGATATTCTTTAGAGTTGAGATGCATTTTTCTTTCAGTGTGTTTAGTCTTTGTGTCATAATGAGAATTCTCTTATAACTTTTCTTGAAAAAAATTATATAAACAGATTGAAATGGTAAAAAAAAGTGTCCATACAAGACTAAAGCTCATAGTTCATAGGGGTAATGCTGTTAGGGATTTGTACTTGACCCATAATTGTTCTTATCACCTATTCAACTTTTTATGGGTAAGGTGTTAGTTCCTTGAGCATTTAAGTTTTTTTTTTTTTTGGTTTAAAGAAATCTTCACCCTTAATAGGCTTCATCCCTCTGTTTCTAGTTCTTCTGCCAGTTGTAGGCAATTAACCAGAGTCCAGGAAGCCACCGATAAAGGCCATTCAAGAGACTTCCTTCTGTTTATTGGAAAGTTTACAACAGTTATGAATATGTGATTTCTAAAGCTATTGCAGTAGTCAATGTATATATATTTAAGAGTTATTCCTAAACCTTTGAACATGAATTGCCCCTGGCTGGAGAGGGCCTCATAGGGCAGATATGAATAGTAGCAAATCAGGACAGATTTCAAGCTTCAGATAATAATATTTAGCTTGGGAAACTCATTACATGTATGTTGGTAAATGTGTAATATGATGTTATAATAAGTCTATAAATATACAGTATTTCCAATATGCCATGATATAGGTGAAAAAAGCAGTTTTTATACACAAATAGTATTTCTCACATAAAACAACAAAACCAACAACCGTTGGGCATGAAATGAAATGTGTGATCTTGTAGTCTACAACCCTACAGAATCCGTTAGCCTTTGTGCTCACCTCAAACATTTAAACCAATATTTCTGAGGCTCTAAATGTATTTGTACTTCTCAACCTGGGGATCCTCAACATAGTCCTAGAAATGGCTGCTTTTTTTCTGCTTTTATTCTTGCCACCACTGTAACTCCCTTTATCTCCCCCAGTTTTCAACAAGGAACAGCTCTGGTATCCCAGGACACCCTTGGTTTCTTGCCACACCTTAAAATCTTGTGAGCAATCCTGCTATTCCAGTGTAATGTAAACATAAACTAAACTTACCTATCGGTTGGTGGATGTGGTTAACCCTTTGAGGACCAAGGGACGTATTTGTCCCATGTTTTTAATTGCGTGTATCATCTGATTAAAAACTTAAAACTCTTTTTTTTTTTTTTTGGTTTGAGTCAAAAATATTAGTTCTTATCAACAAACAACAAATGGATCTAGCTTTTTGCCAATTATTTCATGAAATGGCTTAGTTACAGCAACTGAAGTGTACGAACTTTAAAAAAAAAAAAAAATTGATTCTTTTGGCGTTCCAAAATCTTACGGTCCTCAAAGGGTTAAACTTTGCTTTCTTGAGGCTCTCCTGTAGACAATATTATTCCATACTTGAGGATCTGTACAATAGTGTGAACCCCATCCTCCTACATCACCACTGTGCCTTGCAGTGATGTATGGGTTGGTGGCAGGGGAGAAATTATAGAGGCCAGTGAGGGGACAAGCTATTCACCACACATGACATGTTGGAAAATATCAGCAGTGGCAGCTTTTTAAGAAAGCAAATTTCAATTCATTGGTTTCCAGATAGGTGAGTATAAACATGCTTCTTTCACAAGCTATTGCTGCTATTTTCTCTAGAAGGTTCCTTCTAGAAGAGCCTGCTCACACATAAATGTGCATTAAAATGCATGAAAATGCTTGAAAAATGGATATGCATTGCCCTCCATTGGCATGCATTTTTGTGTGTATTAACACACGTTTTGATGTGTGTTGATTTGCATTAATGCATTTTATGTACATTAATTTGCTATGGGTCCTTGTAAAGGCCAAACTAATAAAAAACTTTTTTTTTCCTCAATAGATTTGCATTGTATTGATTATATTTAACGCAACACACTGCACTGCACATGACACCAGAGTTTTTTGGTGTGGATAGAACACATAAACAGTTGTTTTCTATGTGTCCTCGCTGTGACCTGTGTTCATCCAGTGCAGTAAAATGCAGGTCACTGTAGCATGTGTTAACAGCTCCTACATTTAAAATAACTTCATAAAATAACAGCATAAAAATCCAGAAGCATACTTGATGCATCATATCAATTGAGTTGATCAAAAGCCTTTAGTGAATTCCAACTGAAGAAACATGGCTTTGTTATACATTTAGTTTTTTATGTTATTCAAATCTGGAGCGGGCCCAAGCTATAAATATTAGAGAAGAAGCATGATGGAATGATTGAATAATATTTAAAAAAATCTTTAGATCCCTAGAGATTTTTGAGAATACATAAAATTTAGGAATTACTGTGGTTTGGGTTGTTAAAATGTCCCATTCCAAGAGGTCTGTAAATGGACCTGGGGGATCAAAAGAGATCAGAGGGCATCAGATGAGATTTCTTTCTTTTTTTTTTTTTTGCTTCCACATGGCAGATATCCTTGAAGCAATCTTTGGTGTCTGCTTTGCCATCTTTCATTATGATGATATCTGATTGCATGACTCATGTCTTTAAAGCTAAATTCTAATTCTGTGACCAGTTCTATTGCTAAATATTAGTTTGGGGTAAATAATCTCCTCCTCTACTTCAAGGAATGTTTAGATTGTTTAACTTAACTTAAGCTAACACTATAAAAAAATCAGTAGAAATTTCCATACATGGAACGTTCAGTCCATTATCTGATCAGTATAGTCCTTTCAACAGCGGATTCCGACTGTTCAGGCAAAAAAAAAAATGAAGGTGCAAGCTAGAACATTTTTATTATACGTAAACTTAATGTCCAATGTTTGTTCAATGTGTACAGTAATTGTACAGAAATAATCAAATAGAAAAAAATGTGCATGATCAAAAGCAAATAATGACCCGGAAGAAGGTGGCAACGAATAATTAAATCCTATACAAGAAAGAACGTTTGCCTTTGTAGTTTAGGAAATTTTGTACAAGTTAATACCATTGTTGGTTACATCATGATACGCACCTTCCTGGAAAATCGGACAGCTGTTGTCTGATTTTCTCATAGTGTGTACCCCACTTTAGCTAAAATGGTAAAACACTTTCAGATGGATAGCAAAATGTGCTTGCACATAAATATTGCCTAATTTTTTTATTGTCCTCTAATAATCCATAAAATCGATAAAATTTGAAAGGGTATCTAAAATCCAAAAACAAAGATGTAATATATTTTATGTTACCAGTTCTTGGATGATGGGTGATTTGTTAATTTTCTTTTATCATGCTTTTCTTCCTTTTATTCTCCTCTGGTGATATTTACAGTAGCAGACTACTTGCCTTACAATGACAAAACTCACTCACTGTATTGTTTCTGAATAGTAGAAACATTATCATCCTAGGACAGTAAGGGCTTGTTCACACTTGACTTCTTCCCAAACGCCCTTATAGCGTTTGACAGGCGTTAGCATTCTTAACACTCCTCAAATGCTCCCCAAATGCCTTATGCATGTTTTTGAGGCATTTCATAGACGTTTTCTAAGAGTTAAAACCACACCACAAATGCCTATAATAAAGTTAATTGTATTAACGCCACTCAAACGCCTCGCAAACGCCCCGCAAATGCCTACCAGGCGTTTGAGGAGCATCACCATAGACTTGAATGGGAGGCGTTGAAAGGCTTCAACTCCTCCTGACTGGACATGAGGCATCAATGTTGCCCCAATGCGATGCTAACGCTTCAGTGTGAATAGCACTCTGTACTGCCATGTGTATAATATTAATAGGCGTTTGAGGAGCATTAAAAATGCCCCTCAAACGCCTGCAAAACGCCTGCTTACAAAGCTAGTGTGAACTTAGCCTAAGGGGTTTATTTACTAAAGCTGGTTCGGTCAGAGTCTGGTGCAGCTGTGCATGGTAGCCAATCAGCTTCTAACCTCAGCTCGTTCAATTAACCTTCAGCAATGAAACCTGGAAGCTGATTGGTTTCTTTGCAGAAGTGCACAAAGATTCTGACTGAACCAGCTTTAGTAAATATACCCTTAAGTGTCTTACTGCTTTATATCTTTGGAAGAGAAGAATTATCACCCTAGGCAGCTCTCCTGTGTTAGACTACAAATGCTTCGTCTTCTTCTCATCTCTAATACAGAGAGGATGTGTTTTGTAGCACATAGAAGATAGCTGGCAAAGCTGAATATATTGTCTGAGATTTCAGTTTAGTGCCCACGACCTAACAAGAACAATGAATTACTGGCAACATGTATTTTTCTGTACTTGCAGAAAATGTTCTTAACCTAAATAAAACTAATGGTAATGCACCCACCACATGTAAGGACTGGTAAGCTGTTATATATTACATTTTTGTTTTTGAGTTTAGATATCTTATCCAAAAGTGTTACAATGCTTGTCAGTTTTCTGCATGCATTTTCAAAAATAAGTTTCCAAAAAAAATACAGAAATCCTAATTTTATGACAATTGCGCAGTCATTTGTCTGGGGAGAAAGTGATAACCTTTTTGAAAACATATTTTTCATGTAAAACAATGGAGGCCGATATTTTTTGCCAACATTCCTAATTTGACAACTGTTATTGGCTGTCACAGCCACTCACATGATTGGGAGAACCTCCCACCAGCTACCATTCATAAAACTCTTGTTGACAGATTGGTCAGTGTGCTGAGAGCATGCAATGAGCTCACTCTCAGCACAAAACAGCAGTGCACCATGGTCACGTACAGGGGCGGACTGACAACTCTTGGGGCCCCCGGGCATTAGGGATCATGGGACCCCTGTGTCCTTGCCCAAACTCAAAAAAGCCTATGAAAAAGGTACCGGGGCATCTCATGTGGCCCCCTACTGACCCCGGGCCTTCGGGCAGTGCCCGAGTTTCCAAATGGTCAGTCCACACGTACGTGTGGCATGTAGGAATTAAACAAACTCTCCCTGCTGCCATACATATACATTAGGCAGGGAGTGAAAGATTAAATCTATTAAATACAGCATTCTTATCTTAACTCTTGTCAATAAAGGCAGTGGAAGGAGATGGGGAGGACCATTTCCACCACATGTAAAAGTGATCCAGCAGCTCTAAAGCCACTTGGATTGTTTTTACATGATTCAGCATCAATGGCTGAAAATATTGATTCTGGGGTCATGACTGCAGCTACAACCTCGACCCAAATATAACCACTTCAACTCGAGGACATACAAGTACATCCTTCTGGTGGGAAGTGGGTAAAATATAAGGTGTTATGTTTTTATGAAAAAAAGTATCCTGACAGTTACAACTTCGTAATATGTAAGGAAGCAACATTCACATTCAACCTGTTCATAATTGTTTCAAAAGTGTATCTTTTGTCAACATGTGGAAGCTTTAAAAAACTGCAACTTCTATGGTATTGAAGCATTAGGTTTAGGTTTATGGTATTGAAGCATTAAGTTTACAATGAGTTTGGAGAAAAGCCAAATAGTCCCACTCTGGAGAGAATTAAAAGTACATAATCATTCCTTATAAATATTCCAGAATTCCTGGCATATGGCCCTTTGGTGCCAATGGCCATGGGCAGTAAATCATGTTTCAGAAACCTTATAAGTCATTCGGCTGTGCAAGCTTTTGGATTTCCTAAATCCTTGGTTTACAACTTCTAGATGCCAAATTTGTTAGAATGGATGTGTAATGAAAAGCTGTCTTGTGTTTGGTTTTTTGTCTTGGAAAAAAAAATCACTTGCCTTTGTAAAGACATTCCTTTCAGATGCCCTTGAAGCTTACCTAATAAGTTTGGGATGTGAACCAAATCCACAATTCTCATTCCATTATGAATGCATGTGAAGATTATCCAGTGTAATATACTAAACCATTTGGCACAGGATGATGGCAGTTAAGAGCAAGATCTAATTAAAGTATGTAGATGAAACATTCATTCAACAAAGGCATGACAAGTAATCATTTCTGTCTACATCACCAGATAGGACACTTAATTTCTATATTATTGCATGTAAATGCAAACTTTTGAACAGCTGATGTCAATGGCTCTTTTTGGCTGGCCTATGCAAAATGACAGAAAACCAAATTCTAGGATTTGGACTAGGATTGTACTACTTTTTTTTAAATGTAAGATCCCTAGACAAAAGTTTATGAAAATAAAAATGTCAGTGTGTTTTAATATTTAAATTTATATTTTAATTATATTTGTAATCTGAGCATCTGTTCTGGAACACAGCACGGTGGATGTGCCTGACTGATTTCTCCCTATTCACAGACAATTAATATCTCAAACAACAAGGGTTTATTGAATGTTGTGGGAGTTAAACTGAATTAAAAAATAAAGTAAAGGCACTTTTTAAAAGATGACACCACCCTGTTGGGTGGGCAGTGAGTAGAACTATCTCTGTTTTCTGCTTAAAAGGCTATGCAGCAGCGACAAAACTGTTCATTATAACATGTGATCCAATACATTGGCACTTTTAAGCTTTATGAAGTGCTAGTGACACACTTTGATGAAAGATTGTTGGAATCTTTGTTCTCTTGGAGAGCTCTGTGGCCCAAAACAAATCTGACCTTCCTGGGTATGTCGGGTAGCAAGTTCACTACTGGACTCTTTGGTTCCTCCCATCAGTCACTACCTCAGTACTGTAACTTACTGACTGGTTGGAGGAATCATAGTGATTGGCAAAGGACACACTATTCAACAGACTGGGATAACAGTGACACATAGAGCTTTTCATATGAGCATGGGTTTACCCATGGGTTTCAACCCACTGGAAAAGTAAGTATAAAAGTCTTCTATTTCATGGTGGCTTTGCTTTTATTTATTTTTTTTAATGGTGACTCTGAAAATAGTAGAAAAAGAATACACATTCCAGGTGAAACAAAGACAAAGAGGGAGGGTGCACCAGCCTAGCGCATTTTTGTAAGACTCTTTATTATAAAGAAATAAATCAAATCCAATTTATTGGATTTGCTCAAAAAGGGAAACAACTGCAAGCATTAAATTAATCCAGTTCCAGTGCTTAAATGGTGCCCATCCACAGGGACGTAACTTACGAGTTTTAATTTAAGGGCAGTGCCCTCTTCATCAAAGCTAACCTCAACCCCCTCTCAGCAGTCTATATTGTATATATAGTTCATATGAAAATAACACATTCCAAGTTGTTTGCCCAAGCTGACTGCTCAACATATACATCAATGTACCCTGTAGTGGCTTGATACTGATACTTTGCAAAGATGAAATAAGTCACTATATTCTGACAGTAGGAAGACTTCCCTGCTATCAGAATACACTGATCAGCATTGCGGACTATAGCTTGCAGCACTGATTGAGAGGAGAAAATCAGACAGGGTTGTTGTACAGAAGCTGATTGGCAGATCGACTTCTTTACAACCACTGTGCCCATACATAGATCAACATTTGGCTAGTCTCTGAATCCAGGGCAGATCCTCCTCAGGTATTTTCTGCATGAACAATTACAATCTGAACAGCCAGAAATAGCTGAGGGTGCTGTCAGGCTCCCATTGCTTTCCATGGGGCTTTTTTGCCCACACCTATTCACATGGATCCTCACTGAGTCCCCTACGGTTAATTGCAAACAGCCCCGTTCACAGCTGTGTACACTGAGCACATCTCTAAATCTCACCAAAAGGGTTTCAGAGGAATATAATTAGCAAACATGTTTCTTATAATGCAGGTGTCCAGTATCATTCTAGTTTTTGATGGACATGATATTTAAATGCCTAATGCATTTTACCAACTTTAAGACTAGACCCACAGTTTGAAATTCAAATGTGTATTGATGTTGCAGAAAGGAACAAACAGCAAACAACTGTCATCATGTTCTTAGACAGCTATTATAGAAGACAGGTATCATTCATGTCATTGAACGTCCATGTGAAAGGTCGGGTGATTGATTAAGCTCATTCAGCATCATCTGCATTTGTGATGGGATGTCCAGATGTTAAAGACAGTTAATTTACACTTCTAATTACTGTTAACCTGTTTAATACATATTGATTGAGAGTAATCTTTTGCATAATTAGTTTCATTAGGCCAAATCTGCAAGCAAGCAGTTTGCTAACATAGTAAAACTTTTTTTTCCTGTATTACCTTATCTGTAAATTAAGCAAACAGATTTTGTTCAAAAAAAGACCTACAAATATTAGTAATGCTTTTCCAGGATTTAACTTTTTTTTTTTATTATTTCAAACTTTTAAAGTGGACCTGAGAAAAATAATAGTAAAGATTTATTGTCCAATAGGAAACATATCCACATTTTAATTATACCTATGCATGACCCTGAAAAATGTACTTTTTGTCTTGAATTCCTCCTGAAAAACTTCCTGTGCCTAGGCACTACAATGCCGTGAGCACAATGGCAGGATATCTACAGTGTGGTATCATCTACTCTCATGAAATTTAGAATGTGATTTGGTAATGTACTTACTGTACATTGTTTTTCTTGCTTGAGAGAAAGCTGTACCTGAATACCTACATTGCAAGGATCTCCCTGCTCATGCTCCTTTTGTTCCGTAGATTTGTGCTTCCTTTGTTTCTCCTGCTGCTTCTTTAATATTCCCCCACATGTGTTAAGTGCCTTATATCTTTCAGTGGGAGGACCTTGCTCTTTTAATATTCGCCCACTGGCCACGAGTTCATCATTCATAAGCTCTGCTCTGACATGACTGACAAACTGCAAAACAAGTCAGGCTGAGCCAGTAATGCAGAAAAAATATCAGCTGTAATGAGCATATAGACAATAGCGGTGACATTAATTGGTTGCCATCTGCTTGCTTCTATTGGGGCACAGCTTCCACAGTTCAAGTTCTCATTAGCGTTTCATCACACTTAGTTTGGTGACCTGCTTTTTTCTGCACTGGATAAGCAACTTTTTTCTATGCGCCCTATTCACACAACAATAGAGGTGTGATGTCTCCTGCAATGTGAAAAAAATGCAGTATGTTGTAATTTTTTTTCCACAGCACATTGGATGGCACTTCATGCTATATCACTGATGTGCACTGTGTGCCCTAAAAGCATGTTACATATCAAATATTCACAGACTAGTGAAGATATTCATTTATAAATATTAATTATTGCCTGCTATCCAGTAATTCCTCACAGGATCGATTTGCAAAGAACTCACCTTAAAAAAAGAAAATTGTTCATCCACTACTGCAACCTGAAACCTTGAAACCCTAAAATACCAGATTTCATGATCCTGGAATCTTTAAAGCTCTCAACCCAAAGTGACCCCCCCCCCCAAAAAAAAACCAAAAAAAAAACCTTGATCTTTGGTGATTTTGAAGATGGTAGTACTGCTTAATTTGAATTAGCTGATTCAAGTTGAAAGTATTACAGTTCTACCGCGCAACCAGAAATCTTTCTAATTTTGTTATACAAGCAGATAGACATGAGCAGGCGGTTTTTGCACCGCTCACGTATCTTTATCAGAGAGTCCAGATTAGCTTTAGTGCTGAAGCAGAGGGTTTATTTTAAACCAGGGGTTTAGCCTAAGTATAGTGTTATATTTACAACTAGAAAAGCTACAATTTCTGGGGAAATTGTGTGAAGTGTTCTTGCCTCCACCAGTAGTCTACAACTGGAGTGGGCGGAGTAACTGGGTGGAGTTTCAATGAATGTCAATGGGCGGCGTGAGTTGCAAACAAATGGTCATATTGTGAAAACTATCAGGACTGTGGCTTAGCCGTGGGCATTGTTAGTGGCAGCAGGGATAGCTGAATGTTTTGATATAAGATTTGTGTAGGTGGGCTTGAAAATGAGGAAGTGATGGCAGTTTAGAAATCATGTCCTGATTTTTCAGCTCACACTCTAGCTTTTGTCAGCTCACACTCTAGTTTTGAACATTCCGCCATTCATTCTTATGGGACCAATTTCACCACAAAAAACGTCGATATTTTGTGAACCATTTGGCGAAACGTTCCACAAAGTAATAGCACACCAATCGGGAACAATCCACAATTTCGG